GTTCTCCAGAATGCTCTCCCGTGCCCCCAGCCCGCCATCGTCCTGCGCCCCCAGCGGTCGGGGCCGATGCTCGCGCCGGGAGGTCCCGGGGGGCGACGGGCGCCCTTCCCCGGGAGCGCTGCCAGGCCTGGTGGACCCGCGCGCCCCGCTGGCGGAATGAGCGCGTGGAGTTCCTCGGCCAACCTTGCGCGCGGATAACGATTTTTAGCTGGTTTCCCCCGCCCTGGCTTCCGGCAGGCCGCCTCGCCGCTGTAGAGGGGAAGGAAGCGGGAAAGGAGACAGGCCCAGTGGGAGGGCAGGCCTGGCCGTAGGGTGCCGGGCTCCCGGAGGCCGCGCGGCGGGGGTACGGTGGTCCCGCGGCTGGAGGGGCCGAGCGCTCTCGGAGAGGTGGGGGGGCGCGGGGGGGGCGGCAAAGACGTCGACTGCAGTGACCCGGAAGACCCTCTGGAAGCGGGACCCCGTTCCCGGGCAGGGCCTTCCTTCCTCTTGGGGGGACGGCAGCCTTCAGGCTGTAAGGTCGGAGAGAGGGCGCTGAAGGCAAAGGTTGTCAAAGTCCTTGTAGTTGCTTCCGCACCTAAGGAAAGGACAGCTGGTCATCATGTTCACACCCTGCGAGGGTGCAAGGGGTCTTTGCACCTGGGGCGCCAACGGGTGGGCCAGGAGGAGTCCCGGTGTGTCTATAAAGTACAGCTCAACGAACCGAGTGAAGCAAATTCGGAAACTCGCTTTTAAAAAGTTCACCCTCCCTCCCCAAAATAGCTACACCAAAGAGCAACAGAATACGGTTGTACTGCACCCAGGAGACATTTTCGTACCTCCAGGACCATGTCGCCACACACCTCGGTACCTCCCAATAAAACCTTTCCTTAGAGAGCATCAACTAGGTTATTGTTTGCAACCTACTCACCAGCCTAGAATCTTCAGTTCCTTCCCAGACCTGTATGAACAAGTGTTTCATTGGAAGCTGCGGAGCAGGGAGTGCAGTACTGCGGTTGGCGGAGGAGGAACCAACGGAATGCTTTGAGAACTAGAAGGTGCTGGAGAGGTCTCTTCCATCTCCTTGGAGTGCCGGTGACCTTTTCCGACCTTTTATAAGAGATGGTTCTACGACACATCCCAGCCTCTGCTTTCTTGATCAAGGCCCTCAATCTGGTCTAAATACACAATCTTGGCTAGGAGCCAGAGTAAATAGTCAAGGGATGTTCTGAAGGAAGAAAGAGGATAAGCAAACCTTTTTCTTTTCTTTTCTTTCCTTTTTTTTTTTTTTTTCTGGAAAGCTAAGCGTGTCTAAGGGTCAGCGGAATAAGTTTTTCTGCACTTGCTCGAAACCGGACCACTCCCTGGGCTCTGCTGCACTTGAAAAAAGGCGATTGATAGCTCGACCCTTATTGCCAGGCCACGGCCCTCCAGAGCGGGTACCGGACACACCCCCACCCCTTCCCGAGATGTATGCATAGGGCATCTCTTCCAAGAGTTGGGTCCTGATTGAGCCAGAGACCCGGAAAAAGGTCCCCGAGGAGCTGAGAAGGAATCAACGCTTCCCCCCGCCCCACCCCCGCGAGTGATGGGACAGCCCCGCTCCTACTCCACCCCACCGGGAGCTCTAGGGCCCAACTGCTCAAGTATGCTTTGCAGGCAGGAGGCCCTCGGGACACCTGATTTCTGCCAAGGCTCAAAACCAGAAGACGGGCAGTATGAGCGCACTCTGCACCCGGGCCCGCCAGGCCATGACGCTAGAGCCCGGTCCCCCGAGTGTTGTGATAACCAGCCCTCTAAGGATAAGCACCACCTCTGCCCGGCCGCAAAATCGGCTGCCTCTCCTTCAAGGGTTGGGGCGACCTCGAAGCCCTGGAGGGCGGGAAGGGGCGCCTCTAGGTGAAGTTTCCAACCGAAGCCAACAAACGGCGCTGTTGCCACGCCCTGGGTCTTGGGAGCCCCAGCCCCAGGCCCAGTCGGAGGGAGCCTGAGCTCTCTTGGGAGGGCAGGGGGAGTGGGGAGGGGGTGCTTGGCCCGGTTCCCAGCCCGCCATCCGGGGCTCTGTGTGCCGCCACGGGTTCCCGGAGGCCCCAGAGGGCAAGAGAGCTGCCGAACGCGCTCTCTTCTCCGGAAGAGGTTGGAAAGAACTGGCCCTGGATCCCGCTGTGTCCCTTGCTTTCCTCGTCCCGTGCAGAGTTCAAGTCAGAGACACAGATTCCGGCTCCGCTGGCCCTGCCTCCCCGCGGCCCCCGCCTGAATGGAGGCCCCCTGGGCCCAGTACCTGCCGCGACACCCCTCCCGACCCCCGGCAGGCTCGCGCCGCCCGGCGGGGGCCTGCGCCTGCACCGCTAGCGGGCCAGGAGGACGGGTTTCCCTCCAGCCTTCTCCCCGCCTCCCCCCGCCTGCAGTGGTAACCTCGGCCGACTACCGAAGTGGTAGGGTGCGTTGAGGACGTTTCCTCGGAACTGTTTTGAAGGAAATCCGGCTTGACTCCTGCTTGGGGCTGTGCAGACCACCCCAGAGCCACCAGGCACAGAGACCGTTTCATCACGGCCTCCGAGGGAAGGCAGGACTGTGGGAGAAAATGTCCAGGCACAATACTGGCCGAGGGACGCCTGCTTGTAACGTGAAAATGAGCTCACCTAAGTCGTGGGCTAGTCGTGATCAAATGACAAACAGCTGGGGGCAGTGACCAGCCCCCTAGATCATCTGCTGCGGGGAGGAGTACAGACCCATGCACCGCATCCCTGGTCCTGGGAAATATGCAGCCCAGGCGCTGTCACCACAACGGCTTACTTGGGTCCTAAAACTTGGAAAGAATCCTGACATCTGTCAGGCTACTGGACGCCAGGCCGCGCGTCGGTTGGGTAGTTTCCTAAAACGCGCTTCACTTAGCAACAGCCTCGGAGGCCCAGAGAACCCGAGAGGGCATCTGGGGAAGGCGGCAGGCAGGCAGGGTTACCTCACATTGACTGATTTGGGAGAAGGTGGGTTTGCCTGGGAAAAATGGACTTTGTCAGCTAGTTTCGCCAAAAAACAAGTGCAGGTGGAGATCGCCAAATCATTCCGTTTCCTAAGACACGTCTTCCAGTCTGTGTCAGCTTAAGTGTGCACACTCGTGCGCGCGCCCACGCGTGCGCGCACGCGCCCACACATACGGCACATACACAGAACCATTCCAGATAGTTTACTTTAAAAACCCTAAATCGTACATCCATTGCAACGACTGCAGCCCCTGACTGCGGACATTTGCTTCCTTCCGGCCAGAAAAGCAAGAGAACGTAGCCCAGGTGGAACCCAAGCTTAAGGGGCTGGTTTAGAGACCCCAAATTTCCAGGAGATGATGCCGGCTGGGAGCCAGGATCCTAGTGCCAGCCTCCGTCCATCCCAGAGGGGGCTAGCCTGCTCTACGCCACCCCCTTCCCAAGTCACAAAGGCGTACTTTTAAATTCGTGCAGTAAAGGGGGGAGGGGAGGTCCCAGCGTGCAGGTGCCCCAGGATCGCCTTGGTTTTGCATTAGCGCTAAAAACCTGGGGGTCTGTAATTTTTTCCCACACTTAGGATTTACGCTTTTCTTTTGGTTCTCCATCTTTCCACGAGGCTGGGGGTAGGGGACCACACTGCGCGGACACCCTAGTTCAGTCTCTGACACTTCTGCCTGGCTGGCTACTCCTTCCCACCCTCGCCTCCGGGAGTTTCAAACGCTGTGCCACTCGCTTAGACTGGCGAAGGCGATTGTCCGGGTTCCCTCTCCCCGCAGCCGGGGTTCCCGAGACACTAGCCTTTGGCAGACAGCGTGACATGCGAATGGGTGTCCCGCTCCGAGTCTCGAGGCTCTGGCCAGGATGGCTGTAAAACAAAAAAGGAGAGGGACGGAATCCGTTAGCAGAGCCTGCTCCCCGGGGAGGCGGCGCGGCTGCGCAGCGAGAGCAGCGCTCAGTGGTCCCGGCAGGTGCGCGGCCAGTGGAGGGGGCCCTGCGGTCCGCCCCGAGGACGGCCTCGGCTCCTCTCCGGCCACCGTCCCCCCCCCTCCCCAACCTCCAAGAAACTTTTCTTTCACTTGGAGAGGCTCCGTGTTGCCATGAAAACGGATTTTCCAAGGGGCCCGACCCTCCCCCTCAGGGGCATCGGACTGGAAAAACCGAAATGGCCAGAGAGCAGAGACAAAAAGGGGCCGCCAAGCGGGGGCCTGGAGCGAGAGAGCCGAGGCCGGCTCACCCCCTCCGCCCCCCACACACTCCCCGCACCACCGCGTGTGAGCGCCTCCGCACGGCTCGGGCAGCGGGCAGCGGACTGCTCGCCTTCGCTCCAGCCAGCGGAGAGCCTCACAGCCCCCGTGCGCGCCGCGGTTCCGGGGCCTGTCTCCGGGGCCCGGGGCCCCGACCCCGGCTCGGTCCTGGCGCCCCGGCCCGCGGCTTGCTGGGACGGGGGCCGACTCCAGGGAGGGCTTCGCGGAGCCGCAACCCGGGACGCCTCCGTTGCGTCCCGAGTCCCCCAGCTCGCCTGGGTAACTGGCGATGCCGCTGGCCCTAGCGCTGGCAGCAGAAGCGGTCGGAGGACGTCCGCGCAGACAGCGGGATGCTTTGCAGGGTGGCCCCGGGGCCAGGCACCGCTCAGTCCTGGTGCGGCTGCAAAGTTGTTTTCTGAACCCCGTGGGCGCCTCCTCCCCCCCGGCCCTGCTCGCGCGCCCCCTCCCCCCTCGGTCACCTCCTCGAGTTTCGTTCTTTCAAACTTTTTGAGACCCTAATTGGTGGTCTCTGAGCGGCTCTCCAGGACTCCCGCCTCCTGAATAACTCTCATCACGTCACCGGGCCCAAGAGGGGCGTGGGGGTGAACGAAAGGGCTCCCCGAACTTTTTTTTTCCAGTGGGGCCGAACGGGGACTCCGTGATGATTGGCCAGGGCGCATCACTGTGAGCCTGTCAATCACGGGGCCTCCCGGTGGCGAGGGGCGGACCGAGTCCCAACCCCGGGGGATCCGAGCAGGTATATAAGGGACCCGGCGAGCGCCCGGCCAGACTGCGAATGCGGCCAGCTCGAGACGTCGCATCAGGTGCGAGTAGCCTGCGGGTTCCCGGCGACTTGGCGCGGAGCACTTTGGCCAGCCTGCCCTTCCCGCCTGACCCGCTGGCCCACCGGCCCCCGAGCGCCCCTCCGACGGAGTCCCCAGGCCTTTTCACCGTGGCCGCTCCAGCCCCGGGAGCGCCTTCTCCTCCCGCCACTCTGGCGCACCTTCTTCCCGCCCCGGCCATGTACAGCCTGCTGGAGACCGAGCTCAAGAACCCGGTGGGGCCACCCACCCCAGCGGCGGGCGCAGGCGGCCCCGCAGCCGCCGGCGGCGCAGGCAAGAGCAGCGCGACCGCAGCCGGCGGCGCGACCGCAGGCGGCGGCAACGGCGGGGGCTCGAGCGGCGGGGGCGGGGGCAGCGACCAGGACCGCGTGAAGCGACCCATGAACGCCTTCATGGTGTGGTCCCGGGGGCAGCGGCGCAAGATGGCCCTGGAGAACCCCAAGATGCACAACTCCGAGATCAGCAAGCGCTTGGGCGCCGACTGGAAACTGCTGACCGACGCCGAGAAGCGGCCGTTCATCGACGAGGCCAAGCGACTGCGCGCCGTACACATGAAAGAGTACCCGGACTACAAGTACCGGCCGCGCCGCAAGACCAAGACGCTGCTCAAGAAGGACAAGTACTCGCTGCCCGGAGGCCTGCTGCCCCCGGGCGCCGCCGCCGCCGCGGCCGCCGCGGCCGCCGCCGCCGCCGCCAGCAGCCCGGTGGGCGTGGGCCAGCGCCTGGACACGTACACACACGTGAACGGCTGGGCCAACGGCGCGTACTCGCTGGTGCAGGAGCAGCTGGGCTACGCGCAGCCCGCCACCATGAGCAGCCCGCCGCCGCCGCCCGCGCTGCCGCAGATGCACCGCTACGACATGGCCGGCCTGCAGTACAGCCCCATGATGCCGCCCGGCGCCCAGAGCTACATGAACGCCGCCGCCGCCGCCGCCGCCGCCTCGGGCTACGGGGGGATGGCGCCCTCGGCCGCCGCCGCCGCCGCCGCCGCCTACGGGCAGCAGCCCGCCACCGCCGCCGCCGCGGCCGCCGCCGCCGCCGCCATGAGCCTGGGCCCCATGGGCACGGTGGTGAAGACCGAACCCAGCTCGCCGCCGCCCGCCATCACATCGCACTCGCAGCGCGCGTGCCTCGGCGACCTGCGCGACATGATCAGCATGTACCTGCCACCCGGCGGGGACGCGGCCGACGCCGCCTCGCCGCTGCCCGGCGGCCGCCTGCACAGCGTACACCAGCACTACCAGGGCGCGGGGACTGCCGTCAACGGAACCGTGCCGCTGACCCACATCTGAGCGCCCGCCTGCGCGCGCCGCCCCTCCGCCCCCATCCCGCCCCGCACCCCCAAGTTGGGACGCCTTGTTGTTTAGCTTTGCTTGCCTGAGACTGTTGCCTTGTACCGATGATGGGGAGGACAGAAAGTTTTGCTGTAGCTGTCGGGTTTTGTACAAAAGCAAAAAGAAGTCCGGAGCAGCGGAAATGGGACTTTCTAGAGCTCGCCTACCCCCTCGCCGCTGCCCCTCCCTCCCCTTTTGTAGGCTGGGAATCGCTGTGATGTTTGCAAAGAAAAAGCAGCCCCCCTCCTCCTCCTCCTCCTCCTGGGTTCCTGGGTTTTTCTGTTGCATTTGAAAATGTTGTCGCGTTAGTTTACTGTTAGCCGAGGAGTGAGTGAATAGGAGAAACGTACTCTCGGGTGAGGCTGGCCTGAGAACTGCAACGCCTCCTCCCCCCGTCGCGTTGCACGGCTTTTCCTTGTGGGTTTTGGGGGGGCTGACCGCGCGGAGTGGCGCGGCGGCTCAGGCCGATGTTAATTTATAGCCAGGTGTGCGTGTGTCTCCCGCCTCGCCGCCCCTGGCCGCGGGACAGCTTCTGTCCAGTCCGCATTTAGGCTGTTGAGTTGGTGACTTCTGCCGTGATCTGTTTGATATTTCGTCGCGCTAATGTATTCGGATTTCGTTTGGGTGGTTGGGGAAGGGGCTATTTTGTTTCAGGTTTTTCAAGGTTTTACTCTTAATTCCTAAATGAGAGATCAATAAATTTTATAACCAACGTGATGGAGTCTTGATAATTTTGCGGGCCTGGAACTATGTGCGGGTTGGGGAGGGGACCGCCACCAACTCGGTCTGAGAGCCTCGGTCCCGTCCTGGGGCGGGGGGAGGGGGGCGGGTGGTGGCGAGCGTGATCTGGGATGCTTTCTGACTCCTGGTAATCCCAAACACTCCAGCTCCCAGTCTTTTCCACGCAAACTCCAAGGAGCAAACGGTCGGTCCTACGGGAGCGTGTGCCGGGAGCCGGCACCCGCTAACCGGGGCGAGCACCCCGCGGCCACGCACTTGTTGATAGCGGCGAGCGGCCGCCGCGGGAGTGTCTTCCGCAGCAGCCACGCGGGGCGGGGGCGGGGGGCCGTCCGCGGCCGCGGAGACCGGCCAACCGCGGGGACACCTTTACCTTTGTGCACTGGGGCGGGAAGACACTTGAGCCGGGCTGAAATATTTACAAAACGAAAACCTTTCGGAAATCTCAATTATCCTATTAAAAATAGATGGTTACAGGAATCCCTGGCAGGAAATAAGCGCATTTCAACGGTGGTGGCTGAAGCCGCGGAGCTAGCATTCAACCCTGGAAGGTTTGCTGTTTGGTTGTTTCGTTTTTGTTTTCTGGGTTTTTTTTTTTTAAGATTTTTATTTACTTGAGAGAAAGAGCGAGCGAGCCAGAGCACTAGCGAGGGGGAGGAGCAGAGGGAGAAGCAGACTCCCGACCAAGCTAGAGCCCCCGACGTGGGGCTCGATCCCAGGACCCCGAGATCATGACCTGAGAGAAGGCAGACGCTTAACCGGCTGAGCCACCCGGGCGCCTCTAGGAGGTTTGGTTTTAAAAAGTACATCTGAGACTTGAAAAGATCCCTAAAACTCCTCCAATGGCTTTTTCTTTTTGACTTGTCAACCCAGACCACCTATTTGTTTTCCAGAAGAGGCTCTCTCTCCTCCCAAACCTCGAGCCCGCTTTCTGCTCCTCCTCCCTCCCCTCCCCCGCAATCCCTGACCCTTAGGCATTCCACCGTGCCCCCCAAAGGCCTTTCGTTTCGCGCCGGCCACACGGCCCCAGTGTATCTGTTTGGGGCCTAGGAAGAAAACAAATAGAACCAGTGTTTTTTTACCCCCTCCTCAGCTGTTTGAGGTGATTTCCTTAATCCCTTTAATCCTGTTACCTCGCTATCCCAGAATAACTAAACTCGGTCTTTCCAATAAGCTTGGCCTGGTGCACTGTTTTTATCCTCATCCACTCTGGATCACAGGTTTCTTTGCTTGAGGTCTGCTGGGACGCTGGGCGACAGAATCTCCCATAAATTGGTCCGAATTCCACATTTCCAACCGGCTTCCTTTGTGCGGGCCAGCCATTCACCTGCGGGCCTGGGCGGGCCCCGGGGGGAGGGGCGGAGGCTTTCTGCAGCTTCGGGGGTCGTGCCCGCTTTTTACACATCACTGCCGATCCCGGAGACTAAGCTCACCACGCCTCTCCAAGAAAGGTCGGGTCTCCCAGAGAAGGCAGCGCCACCCCTCCCCCGCAAACGCTGGCACGGTCTCCCCCTCCCCAGCCCACCGCGCTCCAAACCCCTACTTTGCAGCTTGGGGCGGGAGGGCGGCCGGCGGTGATTTACAGACCCTCGCGCCTCGCCCTCCACCCGGAACTCCTCCCGGGCCTGCTGCGTCGGGACAGGGGGACAGGGTTCGGGCGAGGTCTCCGTACCACACCCACCACTCCCCATCCCGGGGTCACAGACCTGGAGCCCCTCCGGCCTGCTGGGTGCTGCAACCACCCACCAGGCCGCGATCCTTGCAGCAGACCCACAGGCTGCCAGGTCGGTGAGCCTCGAACCTCACTGCTCCCCCGCCCCCCCCACCCCACCCCACTCACACACCGTCGGGCCCCGTGCCCCAAAGTCCCCAGGGCGGGAGGAAACTCTCTTGTCATCTCCACCCCCCTATTCATATCCTTCACAGTGTTTGGGCCTCAGTAAAATACCTGGCCGTAGGTTACTCTGGGTTCAAATTGCTAGCAATTGTGGACACAAGTTTGGTCTGAAATGACTCCAGGAAAGGGAGGGTGAAAACAAGCAATTCCGCCCCACTGAGGGGGCGGTGCCAACGGGGGAATAAACTGACGCTGCTTCTTTCGGAGAGTCCATTGTGCTGCTGCCTTCTTAGAAGTGCCAGGGTCACCCTTTCAGCGGGTTTCATATACTGCTCACTCCCTCTCTAAGCATCCATGGCTTTGTGCTCCACTTGTCTGATTTCCAAATTGTCTCTAAGAAAAAGAGATTTTCATCAAATCAGCACATTTGAAGGATTTAAATATAGACGGAAGATTTTTTTTTTTCTTTTTTAACTTGGCAGTAGGGAAGAGAAGGGAACTGAGCCCGAGGGAAACTTCCATCCCCTAGGCCAGAGTTTTCAAACTAGAGCACCCCCTCCCTGCCCCCACTCCTCCCCCACACACACACTTCTTGCAGGATAACTGTCCCTTCCTCTGTTGTGGAGATCCGGGTTCCGGTAAGATTGAACTTGAAATGAAGTTTCAGCTCTTGCATGGTCGTCAAACCCTAACTCCTGCCTCTTCTAGCTTCTAGCTTGTTTTACAAGAGGAAATTGGCCTCTAAGGGCAACGTAAGGGCTCAGGATCGCTAAGCTGGGGCACTGAAGATCCAGCCTCCCAGGCCTGCAGGGCTCTCTGATCCACACAAGAGGGAGAGAACCCCAGGAAATCCCAGCCCCAGCTGCCTCTTAAGCTCATAATGCAGCCAGGTCTCTACAGAAAAGAGGTAGGTAGTTGCTGACCCGGACACACCCCGTAGCCACCTCTTGGTGAATGGTGATGTGAGGTGCAGAGCCCAGGGTCCTTACACAGTGGAAAAGACCAGCCCATCTTTTAGCTTTCTGCTGACAGGAACAAAGCTACCTTGTGGTGGGAATTATCCCACATAGAGATTTTCTTCCCTGGCCTCTCCATACAACTCCCCTCATTAATCTCCCTTCTAGAAATCTACACGGGGAGAGGGCATCCCAAATACAGACCAACATTTATAAACAGACGTTCATCAGAGAACTCCTTATAATGGTAAAACTTACACAACCCAAAAGTCCAATGAATAGGAAGAGGTTGTTTAAAATATGTTTTCAAAAAAGACCTCCTTGCGGATATTAAAAAATGTGTGTGGAGAGATTTTAATGACAGGGAAATGTTTAAAACACAAAGTGAACAGAGCAAGATACACAAAAGTACGTTCAGTATGTATGACCTATTTAACAATAAGGATATATAACTGGAAAAATATGCAAAAATGCAGGGTAGCATTATGAATACTGGTTAGTCTTCCTTTTATGTTCTCATACTTTCCAATTTGCTCTGATAGGATTGTATTCCTGTTATCACCAGAAAAGGCAGGTTAAAAATAATTCTCTCCCTGTCACAAATACAGAAATGTGTCTCCTTGCGAACGAAGAAAGTTCCAGCTTTCCCTTCATTTGTTTGGGGGCGAGGAGGGGGCGGGGAGCCCCCAGCAGCAGTAATCCCCCACTCTCCTCCTGGTTGGGGCCTGCAGTGAGCACACCAGAGCAACCTCCCGCCAAGCGCCCTCCTCAGTAAGCAGGAGCAGGATCAGATTAGTGCCGGCTCCTTCATTCTTCAGACCCACTCACTGGAGAAAAAGACCTCCTTGCGAGCCAAGCTGAACAGCCAGGGCTGCGGGAAGCAGGGGCCACTGAGGAACCAGAAGGCACATAAACCCAGGAGTCTAAGCAACCCTCACTACCCTCTTGGGAGAGGGGCAGAAAGTAAGCCCCTAGGTTGGGTCCCAGGCCAGGTGAAGGAAGGGCTGGATGAGTACCCACCCCACCAGCTGGATGGAACACAATATGCTGTGTCCTTCCTCCCCACGGCCACCATCCTCATCCACGCAACTGACATTTCTTGGGGGACCACTGCCGTGGCCTCTGACCTGTTCCTGATTCCACTCCGCTCCCCACTGCTCCTCTACACACTTTCTCCATAGAACAGTTCTCTCCACTTTTCAAACACAAATCCTATCATTGTCGCCTCCCTTCTTAATAACCTTCCGGTGGCTGCCTACTGATTGCTCTTGGAAAAGTATCCCAACTCCTCCAAAGCTTTGCATGATCCAACTCCTGCCCATCTCTCTGAGCTCAACTATTCCATCCCTCAACCCCAGCCAGGATTCCTCTGGGCAATGTTTGTTGAGTAAATAAATCATAGTTCCTGATAGTTTCACATCTAAACC